GTCTTAGTTTCTTTTCTTCCCACTGAGCCAAAATGCCTGACACCCAAAATGAGGGAAGGAAAAATTTAACTTACAGTTTTTGAAGGTTTCAGTCCATACTCAGTGGTTCCAAGGCAGGGTGGCATGGCTAAGGGGCTGCTCTTCCTGGTGACCACAAGTGACGAGAGCCAAAAGGGCAAAAAAGGAAAAGGATGCCTCCTTCCTCTCCTTATAGTTGTATGCTCTACCCACCCCTGGATGGGTGCAGCATTTACATTGCCAATCTCAGAGCTAGACAAAAAACCAATCACAAGTGCTAGATTCAGCTGCCTCCAAGACTACATGGGCCTTAGGAGAGACACTTAAACCACAGCAGGCCTTGGAAACCTTTACTTCAAGCCCTCTTGGCCTTTGAAATTTTTGTTGAGAACTCTGCAGTTATTCTCATAAGCTTGCCTTATAAGTAACTTGACATTTTTTTACTGGCTTTTAGTAGTCTCGCTGTGTTCCTTATTTTATTTTTATTTATTTGGTGTTTGACCGTGATGTGTCCTAGTGAAGTTCTATTCTCATTGTATCTATTTGGGGTTCTAAATGCCTCCTTGTATAGTTATCTACTTCAATCTCTATATTTGTGAAGTGTTCTGCTATGATTTCAGTGAATAAAATTTTATGCCTTTTATTTCCTTCAGCCGTTCCTTGACATCTATAATTCTTAGATTTGTTCTCTTAGAGTCATCTAGAACCTCATGAATCAACGTATTATAATTTCTGGTTGGTTTTGGAATATCATGGAGAAGATGATCTTCGTATTCTCAAGTCATGGTGTTCTGTCCTGATTAATTCTGTCTGTTGACATAAATTTTAACTGCATTTTCCACTTCTAGGATTTCTGCTTTTTTCCTTTTTACAACTTTAAATTTTTTATACTAGAGTAGTCATTCCTAGTCTCTTCAAACATTTTAAGTAGTTGGTTTCTGACTTCTTTGCCAGAAATTTCCTCTACTCAGTACCTGTGAGTTCAACTTTTGGGGAATTGTGAGTTTTCTGAGGTATTTTATTGCCTTGTTTTCTCATAATTGTTGTGTTTTTGTGTGGAACATTGTAGATGAGATAGGCTACAAAACCGTTCATTATGGTAGAAGTCTCTTTAATGATGAATTTTTCTCTTTGACGTACCTTTGGCTTTGAATGTATTTAGTGCACAGTCATGTCCTCAACTTACTAAATGCATCAAAAAGTGATGCTTAGCACTTAGATGCAAGGAGAGCACAACTACTGATAATATGAGTGAATATTTAGAGAATCAGTCATGAGTCAATAAATAATTTAGTACTTAAAAATTTTCTACTCTTTCAATAAAATAGGAAACCAAAGAATTAGTAGTGGTAGAGAAAGGGTTGGGAGTTAAAAAAATAAAAGAAAAACTAAAAACCAAATCTGAAAAATCAGGGAAAATAGAGGGAATTTGAGAGGGAGCAAAGGAAAAGAAACATAGGAAAGAGATTTATAAGTACAAAATAGGATAGTATTTCTGGAGACTTTATCCAATTTATAAACTGGCAGAAGCCCTATTTTAGACCTAAAGAACAGCCTTTGGTGAGGCAGAATCTGATAAATCTGTGTAAGTCACTGTCTAAATAAAAATAATATTTAACATACACATAACATACACATAAACACATGCCCATCACCTATACTCTATAACAGAAAAAAAGCAAAATCAATTTTTATATAGAAGAAAATGAGAGAGAAGAAAGACTTATGAGAGCATGAGAGGGAAGGTAATGAAACAATTGAAGGATGAATTTTTAAGTAGGTAATGAAAGAGGATATATAGAGATTGAGTCCAATTAATGACCTATTTTATAAACTATATATATATATATAACTATATATAAACTATATATATATATATATATATATATATAAACTATATATATTTTACAAAATTGTTAGGTCATTAATATATATATATATACCTTTGCTACAGGGCAACTTTATGTGAGGTGTTAAAATACTACAGTAGTTAGATTAATCTTAATGCGTTAAAGAGAAAATATAAAAGTATAAGAGAGTGGAATCAATAGATAGGAGAAGGTATAATGAGAAAAGTAACAAAGGTAAGGAAAAGATGAGATGGTAGCTAAGGGAGTAAGAAACAGGAAGAGTATGTCCAACTGTTAAACTAACAGTAAAGTAAGATTAGATAACAGTAAGAAACAACTTTTGAAGTGGGCATATGTGACTTACCTGCATGAAAGGTTTTATATACAACAGTACAAAATTGAAACACATAGCTATAACCATACGTACATACATAGGCCTACCACACAAAAAAATCAAACAAAAACATGCAAAGGACACCATGCTCAGGAGCCTCAGGTGTGCTCAGGATGCTGCTTAATCATCTCTGTTCCTCCTGTGTGCAGGTAGCAGACTCAGGTTCCTGGGTGAATTTCTGCCACAGGATCTACTATTTACTCTGCCAAGTTTGCCTGTCGCAGTGTCCTGCACACTCTGTTTGTATCTGCTGTACTTGTCCTTTTCCCTCAAGGGGACTTGAACTTTTCCCAAGATGATGTATTTACTAGACCTGGACTGTAAGCAGTGTCAAAATCAAGAAGTAGTCCATATTCTAAACACTTCTGTTGCTGGATTTCATCTGATGAGCTTCTCCTTCATGCTCCCTTCCCATGGTTTAGTTTTTGTTCAACACCTGTATCTAAGTACTTGTGGACTTGGTAAGTCTCTTCTGAGTGTTGTTGCCTCTAGTTTGCCATGATACCCTTCATATTTTTTTTAATTTGTTCGTCTGATTCTATATCTTGGCTATATGAATAATGCTGCAATAATAATGGGCGTATAGATGTCTCTGATATAGTGATTTCATTTCCTTTTGATAAATTCCTAGAAGTAGGTTTAAACTTTTAGAGGAAACACCATACCATATTCTAAAATGACATACTCATATATATTTCCTTCAACAATTATTTGAGAGTTTCCTTTTTTCTATATCTTTGCCAGCATTTGCTAGTTTTTGTCTTTATGGTAATAGCCATTCTAATTGGAGTGTGATGATATTTCATTGTGATTTTTGATTCGCATTTTCTTAGTAATTAATTGATAATTTTTTCACACAATTTTTGACCATTCATATGTCTTTTGAGGAATATCTATTCAGATCATTGGCCCATTTTTAATTTAGATTATTTGTTTTATTGGTTTGTCATTGAGTTGTCATTCTGATGGTTAACTCTTCATTCTGAATTGTTTTCTTTGCTATGTAGATGCTTTGTTGTTTGATATAGTCATATTAAAACACTATTCTAAAAGTACTGAGGATTGGTTCTTCATTCAACAGACATTACTGACTCTATACTTGATTTGGCCTTGAAGCTATGTGCTGGGAACTCAGGTATAAGTCAGATCCAGCTCTTAGTCCTTGGAGGTCTCAGTGTAGGTTAGGCAGATGGCCAGAGAATTGCAGTGATGCTTTCTGGGTTGAGGTAGAGATAGCAGCACAGAGGGCTAAATGATAAGATTGCTTGCAAGCCTGAATATCATGGTCGAATCTTTAAAGATCTGTGGAACAGAGCTTTGGGGCTGGGGGAGTTAAATGTTATAGCACAAGGTTTCAAGTTGGGAAGTTGCCTGGTACACATAAAGAACTGCAAACCCCATTCTTGTTAGACACTCATGTGAAGGGAAGTAAGTGGCAGAAGGTGGAGCTGGAGCATCCATTGGAGTCCAAATTCTGAGGGCCTTGGGTCCACTTTGTCATGGTTATTTCTCTAATACATTGTGTTTTCCACTTGTAAACCTTCAACATCACCTTTACCTCTGTGATACAGAGAAAACTTCTAGACATTCAAGGCATATTCTGGTCTGTCTTCTGCCTTCATTTCCATTTTCAGTATCCCTGCACATGCCATCATCTGCAGACAGACATCTCGTATACCTATGGCAAAATATGTTTTCATGTTGATTTTTCTTACTGTGCCTCAAGTTGGTGACTTTTCTATCCCTTCCATCTGTTTTCTTTTATGAATCTCTTTTCTCTGTTTCTCTCGGTCAGTTGTTTTTAATCCTTAATTATATATTAGAACAAAAGTATTTAATTACCACTGTAGGAGCAGTAATCAGAATCTCATGGTTGTGGGCCAGATTACTACTATGTCTTAAAAGTTCCCAGTGTTACTTTATTTTGCTACCAGGATTGAGAACTACTACTCTAAAATATATAAGCCACTTCTCATCTTGACCTATCTCATGTGGAAGATTTCTTATGATGAATAAACAAAACTGCCTGTTTTTCCTCTGCTCTCATACTACAGCCATCAAAACAAGATTTGTGACCTATGTAGGCCTATCATAGTGGCTGTTCTTGTATTTTGAAGCTACCTGCCTTCTACCTAGGTCATTCCTTGCTTGGCTTTCACATCTTGGTTGCAGGTCAATTTCTTCTCCCTATGACTAGATATGTTTTGTCCTTAGCATCATGTCCGGTATAAAATATTTATTGGATTATATGAATGGGTGTTAGGTGGGTTTGTCAGATGGATAGATAAATCAACAATCTGAGCCAAAGGAAGTATTCAGACATGACTCTGCAACTCTTGATCATAAAAGGGAGGTGTGGTTATGAGAGTTTTGACACATGATAAGCCAAATAGCACCAGAGGGTTTAAAGAGAAAGAAAGTGTTCTTCCTAACTCCTATCCCTACCCAGCTATTCCTTAGAGACAGCTACTTTTCCTGTTTGCTTTGATTTAAGCAACTATTGACCTTTATAATTTGTCATTTATATACCAATGCCAAGTAAGAACAATGTGGTATAGAGGAAGTATAAGAGTAGGCTTTTAAATCAGTAAAGTTAGAAATCAAATTCTAGCTCTGCCCATTCTGGCCAATGTGACCTTGAACCAAATTTTCATTTGTAAGATGAAGCAGATAGTCTCTTTTCTAGTTCTAGGCATCTAGTTCTAACTTTCTCCTCACCCCCATTGTCCTTTCCCCAGAAATACTTTGAAGAGGACCCAGCGCGCAAGTGGATGGATGGCTTACTTAATAACATAGGTTGCCAATCTAGGTCCCCTGTTGGGACTTTCATTGATACCTACCGCTATTTTCAACCACAGCAAGAAGGTGCCTTCACCTGCTGGTCGGTGGTCAGTGGTGCCCGCCATCACAACTATGGCTCCCGGCTTGACTATGTGCTAGGGGACAGAACCCTGGTCAGGGACACCTTGCAGTCCTCTTTTCTGCTTCCTGAGGTTATGGGCTCTGACCACTGTCCTGTGGGTGCTGTTTTGAATGTGTCCTCTGTGCCTGCGAAACACCCCCCACCCCTGTGTACACGCTTCTTTCCTGAGTTTGCAGGCACTCAGCTCAAGATTGTTCATTTCCTAGTTCCCCTTGAACACAAATCTGTATTGGAGAAATCAGCTTTGCAACTCAGCCATCAAACTCAGGTACAGAAACGGCAAAACAGATTCTGTATTCGGTTAACCAGGTCTCAGCCAAGTCAAGCTAGCTCCAGAAAAGGCCAGAGAAACATGACAAGCTACCTCCAGTCCTCTTCCAGCCATCACCAAACTTCTTCTGACTTGAAGTTGCCTCTGATGGGAACCCTCATGACCTCAAAGACTCTAGAAGAGGAAGCAATAGCCAAAGTGGTGGAAGATGAGATCAAGGATTCAGAGGCCAAAGAGAAAGAGGCACTGACCTCATTCTGGAAGTCTGTGTTGCGAGGGCCTTTTCCTATGCCCCTCTGTAGGGGCCATAGGGAGCCATGTATCATGCGTACTGTGAAGAAGCCAGGACCTAACCTGGGACGCCGCTTCTACATGTGTGCCAGGCCTCAGGGTCCACCCAGTGACCCCTCCTCCCGCTGCAACTTCTTCCAATGGAGTAGGCCCAGCTAAATCAAGTGAGCCTAAGGATGTCTGGCATGGTAACCCTGCACAGGATCTGATGCTGTCTCCCTTCTAAGTTGCTAATGCTGCCTTCTCTTCCAAAGCTTCTTTTTCTCCTTTCTTAATCCTTCTTTCTCTTGCTTTTCTTCCTCTCAAAAGGCTTCCATCTTTCCTAGTATAACTTCTGTCCTCTGAAGCCCATCTTCCTCTTTCTTTTTCCCGAACTTTTCCTTTTGGTGAGCTTCTCATGCCTTAATACTGTGACCCAGCTCTGCACCCCACTTTTTTGCCTTCCTATCAGAAGTACATGGGAAACAAGTGTTTCAAGTAATTGCCATTTTAAACACCATCTGTCTTTATTGGAAAATATTCATAAATAAAGTGTCTTTGTTACATAGTACACATTGAATGGATGTTTTGGATATGTTCCATATATTTATAGAGTCAGAGACTACCTCAATGCAGAGTTTGTCAGCTGCCTATATCCCAATGATGTAACACTTATGGAGAGGGGAGTTGAGAAGAGTGGTGCTCATTATAAATATAAATTTGTGAGGTTGTAGAAGTCCTCTGAATTGCTGACCTTGAATCAGTAAGAGAGGGAAAGCTGATGTGGTGTGGTTAAAGCAATGGTGGACTGTGTGTCCTAGATAATAGCTGCCTAAGTAAGTGTGTCCAATCCCTAGCTGCTATATATGGGTTACAGAATGAAAAGGAATAGTCTGAGCCTTCAGAATTACAAAGCCAGTCTTGAAACACAACAAATCTCGGGAAAGGTTGCCCCCTCATCAGATACTGTCATTAGTTATGTATTGGAAAGAACACCATGAGCACTTTGTATGCTATAACCAAACTTCTTTTATTACCTTAGAAATGGAACTGGTACGTACTATACGATGCTATGAGATAAAAAGCAAACAGTTGAGAACAATATCCAGACCCACCTCTGGAAAATAACCTCAGTATGGAGAAGCCATTCCTCCCTTCTGGGCAGTTTGGTTGGGACTGACTCATCTGGCTTTAAAGGCTATCTAAGACCCAGGTTTCCAAGTCTCTCTTAAAACAGAAACTAGACAAAGATGTCCACTGTCTCCACTTTCTCCACTCCTGTTCAATATAGACCTCAAAACATAGCCCAAGCAGTTAGCCAAGAGAAAGAAAAGGAATACAAATAGGAAAGGAAGAAGCCAGAGTATCATTATTTGCAGATGACATTCTCTACATAGAAAATCCAAGTATTCCACCAAAAGATACTTAAAATTAACCAATTCAACAGTGTAGCAAAATACAAAATTAACATGCAAAAATCAATAATGTTCCTGTACATTAATAATGAACTTGCTAACAGTGAAATTATGGAGAAAGCATTCACAATAGTATCAAAAAAAGTAAATACTTAGATAGTATCCTAACCAAAGAAGTGAAAGACTTCTATATTGAAAAAGGAGATTGAAGAAGACATCAGAAATGGAAAGATATTCCATCTTTTTGGATAGAAAGAACAAATATAGTTAAAATGTATATACTTCCAAAACTGATACATAGGTTTCAAAGAATCCAATCAAAATGACAAAAACAATCCTATAAAATTCGTATGAAACCAGAAGAGACCAGAATAGCTAAAGCAATCCTTTAAACAAAAGCAAGGCAGGAAGCATCACAGTCCCAGATTTGAAGTTACATTACTAAGCTACAGTGATAAAAGCAGCATGGTACTGACACAAAAACAGATATGCAAATCAATGGAACAGAATATGTGAAACAGAAACAGCCCCAGCACATTCAAATTTAATCTTTGAAAAAGGGTCCAAAAACATAATGGGGAAAATACTCCCTCTTTAATAAATTCTGCTGTAAAAATTGAATATCTGTGCAGAATATTGAGCCTAAACCCATATATCTCACCAGTACCAAACTAAAACCAAAATGGATCAGAGATCTAAATGCTAAAACTCATATCTGTTGGAAAATAAAAAAGATACAACATGAAGACAGGCACAGACACGGCTTTCTGAACAGAACCCTAATGTCATAAGAATGGCACCAAGAATTAACAAGTGAGATCATAGCAAAAACCTTTTGCACAGCAAAGGAAACAGTGAAGATACAACCTACAGAATGGGAAAAAATTGCCATTCCTTGGTCAGAGGACTGACATCTAGAATATGTAAAGATCTTAAAACAATTAGACCCTCCTCCAATAAAAGACTCAGCTAAAAAATGCATAACTGAAATGAATAGGCACTTTTCAAAAGAAGAAGTGCAAATGGCCAATAAACACTTGAAAAAATTTCAACATACTTAGCCATGAGAGAAATGCAAGTTAAAACAACACTGAGATTTTATCTTCAAAAAGAATGGCTGTCATCAATACTTGATTAATAACAAATGTTGAAGAGGCTGTGAGGAATAAGGAATCCTACACTGTTGGTGGGTGTATAAACTGGTAAAAGCACTGTGGGAATCAGTAAGGAGAGTTCTCATAAAACCCAAACCAGAAAGTCTATTTGACTTACTTATTTCCCTTCTAGATATGTTTCCATCATATTACAGTGATACATACATGGCTGTGTTTATAGGCAGCACAACTTGCAATAGCTAAATTTTAGAAATGGCCTGTGTGCCCATCAATAAATTAATGAATTAAAAAGGAGGGGAAATACACACACACACACACACACACACACACACTAGCTAATTCCACTATTGATCCTATTAGTTCAGGGAAACTGATTGCTTATATTGTTTGCTCTGTTTTGCAAGCCCATATCTTGTAATTTATTTTTTTTATATCGGACATCAAACTTATGACCTCACACATGCCAGGCAGATGTTTGTGGCACTGGGCCAAAACCCCAGCTCCTATATCTTGTAATTTGAGCAAGTATTTTAAAGATAACAATGTGCAATATAGTGACTATTGTTAATTTCCTATGTTTATTTTGAAATCCTATATCGTTTCTATTGCTTTGTTTTTATTGTTTTCTTTTAATGAAACAATATTACTGTGCCATAAAGAAAGATAAACTTAAGACATTCATATGTAAATGAATGTGTCTGGAAACTATAATGTTAAGTGAAATCAAAGACAAGCTTAAATATTGCATGATTTCTCTTATGTGAGAAACCCAGAATATAAAAAAGCAAAATAAATGTAGACAATAGAAAATAGGATGATCTTGTTTAAGTGAGAAGGGGATGAAGAGATGGAAAGACCAGAGAGGGATGAAAGAATTAAAAGACAAAAAAGAAGATGTGTTGTGTACATGTACTACCTGCCCATGATAAACATCATCATGTACTGTGAGAAAATAATAATTAAAAATATAAAAAATAAGCCCTAAATTTTGTCAAAACTATTGAAAAAGTAATTTCAAATCTGTCAAATGTTTTGTCTCTTTGTGCGTCTCATCATGTAGATTTTGCCCATTTTTTCCCTCTTTCTGGATTTCCTTATCGGTGAGATATAGTGGTCAGACCAATAAGTGATCTGTGTTTTTTTCATGCGTCTGGCACTTGACAGAGGAAGTGCAGAGTACATTTGTTCTCTGTCCTTTAATAAAGGGTGACATGTGCTGCAATTTGCTCTTTATTTTTAGACGCAAGTCAGGTAGCGGCACACAACAAAGCAAAAGATAGGAGGAGGCCCAGTCTCAAGTGAAGTGTAGATGGGTTAAGCATCCAAGTCATCTGGCTTCTCAGGCATAGGTGGTCACATATTGGGGCCCCATGTTCCCAAAGTAGGAGCGTTCCCACTCACTCATGAGCTCGAAGTGTACAGGACGATGGCAGAAATTGCAAGCAGCCACAGACACATCCTGAAGAGGCAGCCCCACTTCAGTCCAGGCTACTAGCAACTTACCTGAAAATGGTAGAGAGAGGGGAAAGAAATAATTGGTTAGATTTGGTCTTCTAAATCTCTGTGTCACAGTACAGATATACCAAGATATTGAACTCAAACATTTGAGGTACCTCAAGCCTTGAGTAACTTTGTCTATTAGACCAATGTGATCAAATATTGTCATTTGTCTGTGATTGCCAGGATGTATAGAAGATTGGGCAGCACTCCTCTGCCACAATTTGAAGTTATACTATCCTGGTCTGGACCATTTCATAAATATAGGTACTTGTGGCCCAAAAAGTGAATCTGATTGCTTGGAAACCCCTACCCTGGTGAGGAAGATGAGACAAACACTAACCACACACTGGCATCAGAATTATGAGTAGGAATCCTGGAGCAGTGTATGTGGTGTGTCAATCTTATAGGATACAGGAACTCAGAGGAGACAGCCTGACCCAGCTGTAGGAAGTACATTAGCCTTTTTCCTATGATCATGTCTTTGGTGATCTTGCCTAGTCTAGTAGCTTTAAATTTCATCTACAGTATATGCAGATGATTCTTAAATTTTCATCTCTGGTCAAGAAATCTCTTTAATTCCAGAGTTGTATGACTAATGGACTTTCTGAATTTCCACTTGGATATCTAAGAGATATAACTAATTTTACATGAACATAACAAAATTACTCATGTCCCTATCCTCCACCATGCCCGCTCTACTTTCAACTTTTTCCATCTCAGTGAAAAAGTTTTAGAGTCATCATCTTGCACAATCCAAAAGTTTTAGAGTCATCATCTCTTTTCCCCCCTTTTACTCCATATTGAGTTTATCAGCAAATACAATTGACTCTACCTTTAAAATCTAACTACTTATAACCTTCCTTGCTGTCATTCAGTCTAAGCCACTTTTATCTCCAACTGGAATATTGCAGTCACCTTCTCCTAGGTCTCCCTCTTCACATTTTATTCTTTTTAGTACATTCTCAGCATAGAAGTTGAAGAATTTTTAAATTTTGAGTCAGATATGTCAGTTCTCTGTTGAGATCCAAAGGATCTTGAAATAAAAGCTAGAATTTTTCCCAGGACCTATAGTACCCTATACAATCTGATCCCATGTTTCTCTCTCTGTCAGATTCTCCCATTTGCTAACACCACTCCATCCATACGCATCTAATTATTCTTCAAATAAAAAAGAAATACTCCCATATTAGAGTTTATCCTTCTTTAGACTCTTTTTTCTGCCTAGGGTACCCTTCCCTTAGCTATCTGCCCAGATTAATTCCTTAATTTCCTTCAAATCTTTGCTCAAATATCAACTCAAAAATCTCTCCTATTACCACTCTAATATTTCAGCCATCCTCCAAACTAGCCCTTGCTCCTAGCACTTCCTGTCCCCACTTCTACTTTAATTTTTCCATAGCACTGAGTACTAGCTGGCCATTTAATTTTCTTATTTTTAAAAATGTTTGATTATCCCCCTGTGCCAGAATATAAGCTCCAGGAAGGTAGAAATTTTGTGTCTGATTTGTTTACTACTGGATTCCCAGCACCTAGACTAGTAT